TAATGTTGTATCGAAAAACTGGTGTAGGTGTATCGGGAATAATATATGAACCGTCAATATTAGAATTCCATCCTGCCGGCGACGCATCTTTAAAATGGCCGGCAATGCTTTGGGCTTAAAAATCCATGTATTGGCAACGCTGCATCCACCCTCTGCATAGTGGGTCTACTTATAGGACACAAAAATGAACTTGATGAAGAGTCTAAAAAAAATTGCTGCTTTGCCACTATGTGCCATTCCATTCAGATGAAAACTGTGTCTAAATCAGAACTGTGTCGGACGGCTCCGTGCCCCGCACTGAGTGCTGCGCGCCGTGGAATCAATGACCGTGATTTGTGCAAACGCGTGCGCAAAGAAAATATAAAAAACTAAAAGTGCGTGGGAAATTTTCCCATTTATATAGCTACATCTTCCTGAGTGTGGCCCCACCATAGTGGCAAACCAGGGCTTTTTTAGAATCAGTTCATTTTTAATTTTCTCATTTACACAAGATTTAAATGAATTTCTTATGTATGATAATGCTGGTATCCAGGATACTTTGCGTTTGCTGGTCTACCAATAGGACTCAATTCCTCAAACTATGATCCCTGCCATCCCGTTAAGCGACAAGCGTTAACTACTAGGAGTAGGTTCAACTTTCATGTTCAACTTTCTGTTAGTCAATGTACTAAAACTTGACTAAAATTCTAAATCATTTTGCAGAAAAATCTATCAGAAAGACAGTAACCGTATCACTGTTTTGAAATAGGTAGGTAACTGGAGTCTTGGAGAGTTCATTTTTGATACTCTTCAAAAATAGTTAATCTAATTTGAGGTTATTGACCAATGACCAACATGCTTTTTTCAAATATATATAACTGACGTCTGGCAGCAATTACATCACGATAATCGATTATACGCTTTGTTAAAATTCTCTTAGGTATATCGTGACAATCGTCCGTCGTTTTTGGACGCATTTTGTGAAAATGTAGTGAAGGTTTTTATCACGAAGGATTTTTACAACAATAAATATTACATTTTTCGACATAGGTTGTTAGAAGTCGCACAGTGTAGAGATGTACTTAAAACTAATAGTAGGCCAACAAACACGCAAGCGACACAAAGAACCAAAAATTCTGGTAAAAAAGTAAACAAAGGCGAAGTGAGGTGCTCATTCTCTAAGTTAACAGCAGACATTCCTTTCGTGTGTTCAGTAGGGCTTTTTAGAATACAATTCGTAAGGTAGACGTGAATTAATATCGGCGCAAAGTATTTTTTCAAGTTAAAAAAGGTGCGAACAAACGAATTTGCATGTAGTAGGAATCGTTATTTATTAATAATCACACGTGGTTAAACGCCTTAAAGTGAATGGCAAGATCCTATATTTAATTTATTCATATTTGCATATGCATACACATACAATATATTCACCTCTATAACCTGTGAACCTTGAAGTTGAACCTCACTCATAGTGTAAATTTTTAAGTCCTTAACATACATTTGTATTGAAGCCACAATTCTGCGTCTATTTATTTTAGCCAATTGTTTTTTACGGATATAGAAGTGGATGTCATGTAATTTTCAGGGTCAGTAGCCATCAGAAAAGGTATAAACACGTATTAAATAACTTAGTACCCTGGAAGCAAGCTTACATATTAGTAAATCATTCCATTGTCCTAACGAAGTTTCGTTCAATAAAATTTACTTGACCCGATGTTGTATATTCCGTCACCAAGAGTCTATATGAAGCTCAAGCATTCCCGAACATAATAAACAGAGCGAGTTCTTCATTTTGACGGGAAAATTTAAATCATTCTACGCATCTTAGTACCATTCAATTTTTCGACATGCAGTCAAAAAACCTTGAATATTATTCATATTATATTAATAAAATCAGAGCCAAAAAATCCAAAAGATCTAGGAAAACAAACCCAAATTTTCTAACCTATGTCTCGCATCGAAGCAGTTGATCAGTAACTGAGTCTACCTACTTTGAGGCACGAGAGTGGAATATTGAAGACCCGAATATATAATATTCATGAACATCACGAAATATAAAATCGAAAACTTGCCGTTAGTATTATTTTTAGCCAGAGGTAGAACTATTTGAGTTTAAAAAATTATTTTCATACCCTGTTGCAATTGGCATTACGTGTTATCATTTGTAGTCTTCAAGCAATTCCGAAATTACCATGGTAAAAACTTGTCCTCCCAACTTCATACAGGCAAATCAATGCATCGCAAATTTTTTATACAAATTCACAAACTATCCAACTGACAGGAACTGCAAGCACGGATATTTTGTGCAAAAACTGCATGGATTTTTCAGTAGTAGTAGTAGTAGTAAAAGATTTACTAGCGCTTCAGATAGCTATCTATTTCGCGCCGGAGGTGAGGTCTTCAGCTACGTCAAAGATGTCTGGTCTCTTCTGGCGGTGGTGCAAGTGCATATGACCGACCGGCGGTGGCGTTACGGGGCCATGCTAAATCTCTGGCAGCAGGTTGCATTCCATCAGGTATCGTCTAAGGTTATCGGTTTCGAAGTTACTTCGCCGGTCCTCCCGCAACATTCTAGTGAGCATCTCGTTATGATCAAGGGCGGATGTGTTGGGGTAGCAGTTTTGTCGGATGTCGTTGTGGCTAGGGCACTCCGCCAAGAGATGCAGAACTGTCAAGGGCACCAGGCAGTCGTCACAATATGGTATAGGGCGCCGTTCAATCAAGTAGCCGTGAGTGAGGCGCGTATGGCCAATCCTCAGTCTACACAGCGCTATCTCCATTTGTCGGGATCTCTGGTACGATGAGCTCCATGCTGATACACTGTCCTTGCTTGTTCTCAGTTTATTGTTTCTCGTGTTCAGCCACAGCTAGCGCCACATATGGTAAACGCTGGTCCTGATGCGGGGGTAGTGGTCGTGACATGGGACGTCCTCCCTATAAATGGTCGCGTCCGACGAAGAGGCGCCCACCGCCGCCTCATCCGCCCTGTCGTTTCCCCGCACCCCCACGTGTCCCGGGACCCAGCAGATGCTTATAGTTTTTCCCGCCTCCACCAGGCGCAAAAGCCAGGCCAGGATTTCAAAGATGATAGTATGTTTGCTGTTGTAGGTTCTCAGGGCCTGCACTACACTTTTGGAGTCTATAAATATTGTAAAGTTACGTTCGGGGTGGTCATCTATAAGGACCAGGGCACAGAGGACGCCAGACAATTCCGCCGTATTAATTGAAGCGTTGGGGCTCAGTCGTCTTGATATTATTGTTGTGTCGGTCGTAGCCGCACACCCCACTGCGTCGTCCGATTTTGAGCCGTCAGTGTATATATGGATCGAGTTTGTATGCTTTGTAGTTGCGTGGTCCAGGAAGAGGTTTTTCATCGTAGTTGCCTGCAGCTCGGATTTTGGTGGGATATTTTGGTCAGGGCAGAAGGTGCTTATGGGGATTCGCCACGTGGGAATGTCTTCGAACGTGACGGGCATAACCTGCATTTGTTGGGCCTGTGTTGCTGCAGAGAGTGCACCGTAGTCTTCAGATGATGGGATGTTATATGGAAATGGGTTTGCTTGGTCTCCGGTCATTACAGTGAGCCATGTTGGAGATAACGGTAGTTGTTTGAGGCGAGTAATCATCTGTAGCGTAAGCTGCGCTCGGCGGAGATACAATGGTGGTTCTCCACTTTCTGCATAGAGGCTGATGGTGGGGGATGTTCTGTATGCTCCAGTACATATCCTGATGGCAGCGTTGTGGACTGGGTCTAGTAGCGCTAGTTAGGCCTTAAAAGGCAGCGTCCTCAAGAGGATGAATTTGCTGAAGCACCTAACCGAACAGTCGTGGGGATCTGACCGTGTAACTCTTTTCCGCCTTTACAGGGCCATACTAAGAGCCAGGTTAGACTATGGGTGTATCATATACCAATATGCCAGAAAAACCACACTAGCGCTACTTTTTTCAGTATCAATGGCCGCCAGTGGTAATGATATGAAAGAGCCATTACGGTATAGCAAAAATGTTATTAGATTTGAAATGGACTAAAATTGATTCAAGATTGTACAAAATTTAGTGATTGCATAAAAACAAAAGTGTATGGAAAAAAATTAACACATGAAAACAAATCACTTTAAGCAGAACACACCAAATAAGTTCAAAATCAGATAACATCGATGAAAACAGCAATCATAGGAGACAGCTTAAGCCTTCTCGTAACCACTCCTATCTTTCTTCAAGAAAAATACGAGAATGAAGTAATACGAGAATTGCTGTATAGAAACAGCATTTAGATCAACCCCCTGGTGCAGATCGCGGATAACACTCGTGGGGAATGCAACAAGTACTTCAATATCATAATACTGGACAGCATTGTTTCTCCAGTACTACTTCCACACGAGTGTAAATTATTCACATTTTCAAGAACGCATGATCACTTCTGTAGTTTTATTAGATGAATGAGAGCCTACCGAGACATTAATAGTCACATTTTTTCAGTCAGTAAGAATGTTGACGTCTTCCTTATAGTTGAGCTGTTTCATCCTACGCGTAGATATCAAGGCGTGAGCAGAGCAATGACTTAACAAATTAAATAGTTCAAAAAGGTTGTAAAAATAAGAGCATAAACACTTTCGCAACAGAACTAACATGAAATTAATTCAGAAAAAATTCCACACCCAAACTGACTTCAATAACAAGATTGCATATTAATACATTTGATGCAATCACCACGGAGAACAGAAAAATAAGTGGGATGGTTAACCGCATCGGTTAATGATCGTGATAATCATAGTTTTTACCAGCAACAACGTAAAAATCACAAAAATTTCCTAGGATAGAAGCGTACAGTCTATTTCGGACTCAGTGACAGGATAGTACACTGCCCGACGCAAATTCCGGGATATGCAGTCAGTGAGAGACTCCTTCACTCCACCTTCCAGGCTGCTCACGACCTTCTGTAATACGAATAAGTTAAATCATTACCTCATATGACCTCCTGTAATACGTTACAATTTGTGTTGGAGCCACAACAGGATAATAAGTTACATTATTACCTGCTATAAATCTACAGCGAAATGGCAAAGGTCAAATTCTAAATTAAAACTACTCAACTTTGTCATCAAGATGAGATCTACAACTTAAAGTCCTGCAAATAAAATACCGTCTACTGCGGAGTTCAAAATGTTACCTGAGCGCCAGAGTCTCCTTCTTTCATAAGCAACATGGCTATAAGTGCCATCTCTGCGGCGCTCTTGACGACTTGGTTCTTCTCCTTCGTGCCGTTAACGAGGGCGGGAACGAGGAACTTGGCTGCATCCAGGGGTAGCTGAGAGCCGTCGCGCAGTTTCTTAGGCAGACTTTCACACAAGAATTGGACTGAGCGGCACATCGATTGCTTCACGTCGTTGTTCGGATTATTGATCAACTGAAATGAAACATTTTGCAGAAGTTAAGAATGAATGTTGATTACTTTCATACACCTTTAAAATGTCTTTCAATATAAGGTAACAGTGATGGAGTTAGACAGCTAAAGAATTCTCTCTAAAGATGAAAAGTTCGAACAAGGTAAAACGTTGTACCCATGAACACAATAAAGAAGCGATAGATGGTGCACAAACTCAGAAGACAGCTCTACAGTGAGCTTCTTAAAACAGAATGTAAGCACGTAACTAAAACTCTTGATCCTAACTATTTAATTTTTTACATAGAAAAACTAATTGCTGATAAAATTCAACCATTCTAAACGAGAAAACAATTAGAAAATGAACAAAAATGGAATTCCATACTTTGGCAAACGGCTTGAGGAGCTCTAGAGGAATAGCTAGCCCGTTGGTAACCCTGTGCAGGAGGAGGTAGCCAACGGCCACAGCAGCGTTCTGCAACACGGGCACTCGGTCGCTGTTGAGGTGTGTTGAGATGCACTGCACAACCTGAGCATGGAATAATACATCGTTCAGCCGCTCAGATAGAAGAATCAAACCGGGTAAAATTAAAATCATAAAGCTATTTTTACTAATTCATTATTTAACACAATCATTGGGATAACATTGGAAAGGCTTTCATATATCAAGGTTATCATTCAAGAATAAAATAACAAATCACTGCTCCCGGAAATCATTTTATATGTTAACGCACCTGCTGTTCGGTGACCACCTTGAAGACATCATCACCAGCAAGATTAAGAGCGGAGAAGAGTGCCGTGATGTGGCCGTGATGAACGGTCCAGTCTTTGCTCTCGTTGCAGTCCAGGCAATGACTTACAATGACCGACTTGCGGTCGACATCAGAGAGGAAAGGCAAGATGGCGGCGATAGCACCTGCCGACACTAAGCGGGTTCCCTCGTGTTCGCTTTCAAGGTACACCAGCAGCACGCTTAATATGTTCTTACGAACGGCCTCTGGCACTTTGCTGCCCGATATCATGAACAGCTGGCGTACGCAAAATATCAACGTCTCCCTGAAAAGTAACATAGTTTTAATGAATGCGCTGGTCCAGAAAGCTCCTAAATGTCATATTTTATCAAAACTGGCGAAAAATATCATATGCGCCATGTTGAATATGAGGCTTTAAATTTAAAATATCAAAAAAATGTGATACATAAAAGTCATTAACAGACACTAAAGCAATCGACACACTTGAAAAGCTAAAACAGAAAGCCTAACTGAGATGAACTTGTCAACTCAGAACAACGTAGTAAAATACCTGACAGAAACGTCCTCCTCGCTCTTGACGCTGCTCTGCAGCTCCACAAACATCGGCTCAGGCTTGAGATGGATAGACACGAGGTGGGCAAGAGCGTGGCCAGACCTGAGACGCACTCCGCGGTGGGGGTCGTGGATGGCTTTAATGAAGGTGGTTTGCAGCTGCGGCAGGAACGGCTTCAACATCACGCCAGTCTGCCACGAAGGGAAGAGCGCGTACAGTAAAACAGAGAATTCTCCTCAAAGTAATTGTTAAAAATAATCGGGTGCGAAAATTGGTTCTTCACACACTAAATTTGTATGAACAGTCCTTAGTCAAAAATTAGAGAGCTTTTTCAGAAAATCTCGATACATCACCGTATTCTATCCAACTAAGTTTCAAATACTCTTACAAAAGTTAAGCAAGACAAATCGACGTATAATTATTTGAGACTTTACTAACTTTCTCAAGCAGAAGGCCGATAGTGTTGAGTACAGCGACTTTAACACTCGCTGCAAATCTGTCACCAAGAATACGGATGAGTGGACCAGTCACGTGGATCACAGAAAGCTTCAGGGAGTCGGATGACGCGATCTGAATAACTTCCGTGAGGGCATTGGAAGCAACTTCCTTCAGTTCAGGTTCGCCATTTAGAATGGCTTCTCTGTAGATTGGTAGAATCGGCTGGATACCTGTAGGTAGCAAAATTCTAATCAAAATCCTGATGGCAAGTAAGAAACATTGGCTAGATGGCACCTCAAATGTACAACAGATAAACATTGGAGAAATCAAATAACAAAAATTTCCAAGGTCAACCTCTTTATTGAATACAATGGAAGTTCAAGCCATTCAGGATATATACCGGGTAGACCATTACAAACATTTAAACGTTTACTACTCCATATACGCAAACGAGCAAATTTTTTTTATCAAGTGTCACGTTCAAACCTTTGGGCAAGCAGAAACCAGGCATAAGTTGTCCAGGTTTGAGATCTGACGAGGCAAACTTGACTGCTTGTCTGACGTCAGAAACAAGTGTCCTTTGGTCAGATGCGTCCAGTCTCTTGGTGACAGCATTAAGCGCCGCCCAGGCCGCTTGTAAAGTAGCATCGTCGTTCGAAGTGAAAAGTTGCAGCAACCCACGAAGTAAATGAGAAACGTGGTCATTGTAATCGGCTTTAGTGTTGGAACAAAAAGCGACTAGAATTGAAACGGCAGCTCTGGCGTAGCCAACATTGTTGTTTTTCGTTGAGCGTAATAGTTCATCAATGATTATATTTACGCCGGCAGGGTCGTTCACGGCCAGTACGACCCCGTGGCAGTGAGTAAGTGCTGCTTCGTATTCAGGACGGACCGACACTCCGTCCCTCCACTGACTGTTGACAGCAGACACGAGAGCAGGGAGGATTTTGTCCAAGTGTCGAGTGAGAGAATCACCAGCCACTGACGCCAAGATGCTCAAAGCCTCTGTATTGACAGGCTCAGCAATCAGCTGAGGCACGAGATAAGGCAGTACAACCTTGCTCTTTATTGCCATGACTTGTTTCAAACCATCCAGAGCATATTCGGCCTCTAGCTGTGCTTGCTCAGACTTTTCGCCTTCAGATGCCTTGAGAAGCTTAAGAAGAGGAGGCAGAGTGTCATCCAGAGCCTTCTGTCCGATAGTGCCGTACAGAGCATCAAACGTTTGAGCAGCCGCAGCCCTTACATCTGCATCAGGATCACAGAGAGCTTTTCTGACTGTCGTTACAAGATTGTTAGTGAAGCACATCACCATATCTCTGCTGGTACTAGCCATCATTTCACGCAGGCCAATGCAAACGCCTTGCCTATGATCAGGGTCATCTGAATTCAGGCCTTGCTCCAATATAGGAATGATTTCTGGCAGAACGCGTTCGCCGAGTTTACGCACAAGTTCCCCAAGCGTTCTTGCCGCGACCTGCCTTTTGTCATGACTCGTTGAACCTAAACACCCTAGAAGCAAAGTGAACAGTACCGGTAAGATTTCTCGCAATGTCTTTGGAGTGTTGGTGACCACAACCTTCCATACGTGCAAGGCCGACTGGCGCACCAACAAGGCCACATCACTGCGACTCATGTAGAGCCCAGCAAGCACGCGATTGCGACGTTCTTCACCAAGCTTGTCAATAATAGCGTTGTGCGACTGCTCAGTGCCGAAGTTATCGTCATCGTGAGCGGAGTCTGTTGTCATCTTGCCCGAAACTCCAGATATGCGGTAGAGCAAGTCTCCTAGTAAGTGAATGGAACTGAATCTAATTCTCCAGTTGTCATTGAAAAGTCCTGATTCTAATTCTGGCAATAGAAGTTCAATGGCCGTGTCTGAATAGAGCGTGACGATCCTCTGACCGGCTCTGAGGGCTGTGTCCCTAACAAACTCCGTCTCGTCTGCCAGAGCATTTAGGAGAGGATTGATGATTTGACCGATGTAAGGCGTGAACTCATCCTGTGCATGAAACGCGAAAATATTATTCTAAATCGTATATGAATGTTAATCGTAATCAGAATTTCAATAACTCGTTCGAATGAAAAATATAAGAATCATTCATAATCTCATTTTGTCTCTAGTCTTGGATTCATGAACATACTCTTGACCATTCATATTCTCATTTTATCTCTAGTCTTGGATTCATGAACATACTCTTAACATTACTAGCCAAGCACGAGAGGAATGAATCACAGCAGTAAATCGTATATGAATGTTTCTCATAATCAGAATTTAAATAACTCGTTCGAATGAAAAATATAAGAATCATTCATAATCTCATTTTGTCTCTAGTCTTGGATTCATGAACATACTCTTAACATTACTAGCCAAGCACGAGAGGAATGAATCACAGCAGTATATCGCCGTACCTGGAATACTGAAGGAAGGTAAATGAACATCATGATATAGCCATCCTTGACGTGCGGCGCAATATCAGTTCGCTCTGCTGTGGCCACAATATCGGGCATCAAGCGATGAAGCTTTTCAGGTCCAAGACCTCCCACCACCTGAAAAATATCATATTTGATAACAGCTAATAAAATCAAAAGCTCTTAAACAGCTATCCCCAATTCTACTATGAATCGTTAAAAAATCGTTGCACCTAATTAAAGATTGTTCAAAATGCAAAGATCCATTTGGCCATCACTATTCCGTATCACATCAATTTAAAAACGGTTAACGGCCTAGTAAACCAAAATGATCAAGAAATAAAACTATCTCTAAATAAAGATCCCCGCAATTTCATCCTTAACACAAGCAAAGTAATGCACACGTCTAACCTCAGCAAGACCCTGGGCAGCACCGGAGCGATCAACAGAGGACGCCTCGGACGTGAGAGTCTGCATGAGCCAGGGCAAGAGCTCTTCAAAGCTGCTCTCGCCCATGCCCTTCACCATAGCGCCCAGCGCCCGAGCTGACACCGAGCGAACCTGTCATGTTTAATGAAAAAAGTTCATTAAGATAGTTGTCCAAGGTTATTTATATTACTGAACTCGTGATTTTCAATAAAGTAAAATTCATCAAAATATCTCTGCAAGGCTTTAATACAAAACTTATAAAGTTAAATATAAAAGGGTTTCATAAAGATATCTCTGCTACGGTTAAATTACCAAACCATACGCGTTCAATGAAATACATTTATAACATATATGTGCTATGGTTAAATTACAGGACATGTTAAAATCAATCAAGTGAAAAAATTGTTTTATAAGCGCGTCTATGCAACGATTCGATTAAGAAGATGATAATATGAACGAGGTAAAATTGCAAATTCGTTTAAGCTTCTTCAGATTTTTTGTATTGTCACAGCAAAGTCATAAGTTCTTTAAATTTCTCGATTCAAGGATAGCAATACTAATTCAAGATAAAAACAAACATCTCAGTTTTACGATGTAGAATTTAGAGAAAATTTACTCTTTCTGAGACACAAAATTGGCCAACTAATATGCACAACAAATTTATTCTATGCACTTTCCAGAATTATTCATGAAAGGTTTGCGAGACAAGTTCTCCGTTGCTTCAAACTAGCGCGAAGTGAAAGTAGTAGTATTCAACAAATGTAAAATATTAACACGACTAAATTGAGATAAGAAACAGATGCCAGCAAAGATTAAGGGAATTGTATTATTATTGTGCGGTGCTGCAAATAATCAGAAACAGATTATTTAAAAATCAAAAAATTTATTTAAAAAATTTATTTAAATCAAAAATCAAATTATTTATTTAAAAAGTTGATTCACTATTAAGTGAATCAATTCACTTTTAAGCGAATTCACTTTTAAGTGAATCAATCGCGCATTTTATCGAAATTAATACAGAATAGCCGTTCATAATTGCACCTACGAACACAACACACCTTAGGAACAGGATCCAGCAGCGATGCCTTCAACCCAGGTATGATGGCAGGCAAGTAAGGTGTGAGATCTTTCTGGTCAGTAAGACTGTACATGTTGCCGATGATCTGTGCAGACATTTTGCGGGTCTCGGTACTGCGATCCTCGAAGGCTCGTTCTACCACCGGCATAATGAGGGCCAGCGACGGAGCGTCAATGAAGTGGACAAATTTGGTGTGCAGCAAAGTCTGGAGACACGTGGACGTGTGGCGGCCAGGGTTCTTGAGCGCCGAAAGCAGGGTTGGTACAATCGCTGTCGATAATAATTGAGTAATAAAGAAAGGCCTACATGGGTCTATTTGAACAACAGTATAAATAGAATGAGTCGTATACATCACCTTTTGTAGCAAATAAACTGTATGAACTCAGTTTTGCTACAAGCGTCTAACCACTCGTAATGACATAAAATTCATACAAGCTGACATGAATGTGCAATCTTTGATCCAGAGAAGCTTGAAAACTCTAATGCTACAAAGTGTGAAACAAATCCGAGCGGTTGACCATAAGAGTTCTAATAACAGGACAAACGCGTCAAAACCAACCTTGAATCTCTGGATTTTTGATGACAGAGCCAATAAGTTTCAGTGCCTGGGCTGCGGCGTGCTGCACCTTCTGGTGCGAGTCACTGAGCACCTCAATGAGCCGCGGCACCACAGACGGCAGGCAGGACGACAGCTGCTTGGGAGCGCAGTACGCCATGTTCCCCAACAGCTCCACAGACCCTGCAAATTACTACATCTTCAACACAAATGCTTACAATATAATAATAATCATACAAAATTATTGTACGATAGTCTTACAAAAATTGACCATCAGATAGCTTTTGATAGATTGACAGCCTGAAGCTTTTTGCAGAGGTGTTGATAAACTAATTCTTTGATAAACCACAAACGCCTAAAAACACTACATCGCATTTGATATATAATAGAATAAGTATCATTTCAGCAAACAACTATTGAAAGATTGAGCAAAACATCGCAAATTTCAAAGTTTTCTATTACTTGGAAATTAAAATTATATAATTTTCATTAAAATGATTACAGGCCACTGCAAATAACCTTTTTCACTGACCTCTCCATCCACACATCCAAAATAAACCCTCTACCGCCGTATGTCACTCTCGGGGAACATAACTTTCCAACTTAAATTATACGTAAACTATTGAGTGTAGCAACTTGAGAAAATTTGTACGCAACAGAGAACATTTAAAGTTGTCGTATGCAGCAAAAAACCATCAGTACAAGTCATTTTGCGCTCACTAGAACGTATTCTTTTTGGGAAGTAGGCTTGTGACAATATTGCTCCGGTTACTCATGTCAGGCGGTAGAGGGTTAATACACATTTCTGACAATAATTCCATGACCAGAAAGTCCAGAATCAACAAACAACTTAAAATCTAGACCACTATGCTTGTCTGAGCTGGGCAAGCATTGAGACGCGGACTTCTCAACTCGTCACCACGGAAGCAACAGCATCAACAACCCACCTCTCTTGGTCCTCCAAGAATCTTCATCGAGAGCAGCAATGAGGGAAGGCAAGACGAGTTTCACTCCGTGAGCAGACAATTTACTCATTACAGCTTTGGCTGTATCCTTGGCAGCAAGACGCACGTGGTTATTGGTATCGCCAAAGCACAGGAGCAAGTGAGGCAGCACGTGGACTATGTATGGTTCAAACAGCTTGCCCAACATGATGCATAACTGCTCGAGTCCAAACAGAGATCCTTCTCGCAGCTTGTAGTTCTTCTTGTCCTGGAATGAAGAACATGTCTATAAAGAACACGTATAACACTGAGAACATTCATGCATGATGACTATGAGGCAATCGAGGAAAATAAGAAACAAGTGAATGATAAAAAAATTAATTACATTCAATTTAACGGCCAAGTATGGTACATATACAGATAAAAATAAACACACAATAGATAAGCGGACTTCTTAATTTTTTCTTTTGCTTTTTTTTATTGCACAATTTTTCAATGGGAACAAAGCCTTTTGCTCTTCAGTGACGGGGCAGTTAACATGGATATTGGAACTGTATCGGTATATAGGAATTGGAATAAGAACGTTAGCACGAAATTCGACGGAATTGAAAAACTAAATCGTGAAACAATGAAAAAATGAACAATAACACCATTGCCCTTATACACCATGAATGAATAGAATGAACTCACCTGAATGGCGGCAGTGAGTCTGGTGATGATATCGAGTTGTTTCAGAGCCAGAATGCCCATACCCTTCACCAGGGAAGCCAGGCCGTAGGCAGCACCCTTCCTCTCGCCGTACTTGTCGCTCTCCAGCAACACCGTCATGAGTTTAGTGACGAGCTTAGGGCAGTCGTCTCTAATGGCGGGCACTAAGGGATACAAACACAACGCCACGGCCTCCTGCACGGGCTGAGAGGGCGTACTCAAGGCCTCCACGAGCTTGGCCACAATTGGTTTGATCTTCGGGTTCGTTGGATCCAAATGCTTGGCCAAAAGTCCCATGAGGATGATGACGCTCTGACGTACGGTGTCGAAGCTTGCATGGTTAGGTGCTGATTTAAGGCACTTCTCGAAAATAGGGAGCAAGGAGTTCACGGTATCCTGCAAATTGATTAATTATATTTACATATCGAGTAAATATTCCATAGTTTTATATGTCGATAACGACCTTGAACATACTTATAGTAAATCATCATTTCAGACATAACACATTATCAAAAATACAATTTAATGAAAAAACCTAGAATTAATTAATGACAAAATGCTGAAAAACTACCGACGTTTCATATGAAAGCTGAAGGATGAAGCGGTCACGGTCAGCTAACAACTGATTAACAAGAATCAAGCGACTGCTGATCTCGGCTAACTACGTCGCGTTCAGTAGTTTATAGGTTCACCTGTCGTGCGTATTACACGATTACTTGACGCGTGCGTATCTCTTACATTTTGGGAACGATAACAATGGTTTGGCAGATATCACATTAAAAACCTAACACGTGAATAATTAAAAGCAAGTATTTTTAGGAATGACAGTTTCCTGTCGTTCACAAAGCAAAATAGCAATTAAAACTGGAAACGCTTTGAAGAATTGCACATAATCCTTATCAAATGGAATGGATTTACGCTATTAGGAGCTCAGCATGCATAAAAGTCATAAGATGACCCTAGAAGAGCTCCACGATTACTAAATTAGATTGTTTCCATATATTCGAAAGAATAAAGACTCACCTTGCCATGGGAATTGATGAGAGCAGTAGCGGCCTCTAGCATAATACCGGCCACCTCCCTGTTGCGGTCCCCCAGAGCTTCAGGCACGAAGAAGTTGATGAGCTGCACCACTTGCTTCTCCTCAACCACAGGCGCCAGCTGGCCCAGGGCAAGCCCAACGCCGGCACGACCTTCCCAGTGGTCGATGGCTTCCTCCACGATACGGTCGTACTGGTCGCGCTTTGCTGGGGTCATCTGGCACACGGTAAAGTTTGATCATTTATACTGCAGAAAATTGCAACAGGATGGATGGAACTGTAAAAATATAACTCAGTATTCACTGCAGTGAGCGACTGAGAGCGCATTTTCTCGTCGACGAAAACGTGAAGTCACGGACGGAGAGAAGGACAGACAGAAGGACGGACATGAGGAGCACAATAGCGCCTTTTTTCCATAAATGAGAAAATACGCTAAAAATTGAACTGAGGTATAAAAAGGGATGCTCAAAGAAGGTTACATAAGCTGTGAAAACCAATAATATTCTAATTAATCATTTCATACAACAAATAGCGACACGCGAACGACTATTAAAAACCTCATTCAGAAGAGCCTGTAAAAAAAGGGGGAGCTCAAAAAAAGCCAGCTAAAAAGAAAATTTTGCGACTCACTCACTCCAGTTAAATGAAAAGGTTATGAGCTCCAGTTACAATATGTTCCATATACTCCATATGTTCCATATATACTCCAGTTATACCTTGGTTTTTTCCTTGTAAATGTTGATGAGAGAAGAGATGGTGCCCTTGAGGAGGTGTTTCCTGTCGGCGACGAGGGAGGCGAGAGCGGACGCGGCGGCGACCCGTACTTCAGCGACAGGCTGCAGGAGGTCTTGGCGCACCAGCTCGCAGATGTCCTCGTGAACCTGAACCAAGTTATTCTTCTTATTGCTAATTAATACTTTGCAATAGTTTGTAGTGGAAAACTTAAGCTAAAATATTTCAGTTGCCTCTTCCTTCCGATGATACGGAGAATCAAGTATCGCAAGAATATTTTAGAAATGAGCAAAAAAAAAGAAATTTTAGAACATTTTTCGTTTTTTTCTGTTCTGAGAAAAAAAATTCGGTACAGTAAAATAGCTCTGGTACGATAATACATAAAAAGCATTTCTTGTGGCGAACATTAAAATCTGATGGTTATATTAGATAAAGTGCCAGACCTGCATTTTTATTTTAGCCCAGAGCTTGTCGGCGAGCTCTTTGACGCCCTCTTCTTGGTCGTGGCGCGCCACCCACAGACGATGACAAACTTTGAGCCTCTCGGGCCCGGACTTGTCAGGCAGACATCCAGAGAGCACGTCGAGGCCCTGAACACGCAAGTGGAATATTATTATGAACAAGTTAACAAACAAGACGAAGAATAAATATCATTACGAGTATGTGCAAGTTAAAATACGCGACGATAGCAAATGCATCAATTAAGTGAACAGTTTTTCATGTATACAAGGAAAAAAAGAAAACGCGATAATTTTTTTACATTTATGACAATTAAATAAATTTTATTTATTTATGACAATTAAATAAAGTTAATAGTTAATTAAATTGAGCTACAATAAAGAACTGACAGTTAGAGCAGCCTCCCTGACGCTGGAAGAGGGAGCAGTGAGCGTGTCGAGCAGCGTAGCTATCTCATGGCTGGTAGCTTTGTGGCAGCCTGCGCCACCAGAGCCACATGCGCACACTTCACACAGCACGCCACACGCCATGCTGTGTGTTCGCCCACTGTTGCTGCCTGCAACATTTATTCATGTCATTTAATTGAGAGAACTAACATTACAGTGCAATTCGAAAGCGTAACAATAACAAATTTAGAAATAGATTATGACGAAAACATTGAGTAGGTAATCTATTATTTTTCTACATCTATCATTTTCAGTAAGTAATCTATTACTGAAAAATTTACAGAAATTAATTACTGTATGCGAAGCTTAAGTTTCTTTAAGTAAGGCAGACATATGCCCTTACAAGTTAGGTCATTTTTTTTAATGTCACGAAATTCAGGATTAAAAACGAGGTATTGAAAATGAAAGGCGGTAAGTGCCAGCCAAACCTCAGGTTCTTATAACATTTGAAATTCTTTATCGACAATAGACTTAGTCATTTTTTCTCTGTATGTACAAGAATGGGATAATTAAGCAAGAAGGCAGTTTTGATCCCTGTTAAGTTCCAGGTAGTAGACCAGCAAGATCTTACATGCTTCATCCAAGTAATCATCCATAAATAACAGCTTACTATTCATTCGAGAAACACTTGGGCTTCTCAGAGAATTCAATCATAGATATGAAACAGAACAAAAAGTTCCGTGAACTAAGAATTCCAAAATAATATTTTAAATGCAAAAAAACAGCCAAGTGAATTAACCATCACCATTTCTTCATTGGAAATATTCCATGAACCATATCCATGAACAGTACAAGAAGTTGTAAAAGTTTCCACGTTTATGAAGATATGCTAAATTCACTTGGCGTCCTGTTTGCTTTTTACTTCATAATTAAGTTATGGTTTAAGCAGATTAATGATATAAGTACTTAGAACGTTCAATGGTTTGAGGTATAATTCTGTACGATGAACGCACCAATGACGCGTATGACGAGTGCGAGTAGATCCTTGAGTGGTAGCAGCTTCGGGTGGTACAAGTCCGGGGTGCTGCCTGGGGTGCTGCTGCCTCTCATACACATGTGCTCACTCACAACCTGCAGCAAGTCATGCAAATGACGGCACTCAAGTTCTGTGCTTCAAACCGCGGGACAAGCAATCAATTTATTACTTCATTTTCTAAGAATAAAGTATATGGAACAAAGGCAAGCTAGGAAAACTTCTGTTGGATGCCTTTGCTGTTGATATCCCAGAAGTAAACCACACCTTATAATCCAAAATAAAAACTGCTCACAGTATTTGGTACGAAGAATTATTAATTGCATAATCCACTCATCATTATTTAATCAACTTTATTTTAAAAGCTTTACTTTTTATAAGCTCCTGCGACTCTGGAAAAATGAACAAATACTTTCGGTTCATACTAGAAAGCGAGACTATAGATAAGCAGAAAACAAGATCCAAAAGAACACACCTATTAATAATTTGAATTCATCACATACAATTTAGCTGATAACAAACAACAAGGGAATAAACTCAGCACATCATTGAAGATTAAGACGTTCACTGAAATTGCACGAAAAGAATCTCAGCACATCATTGACAACCAAGACGTTCCCTGAAATTGCACAATAAGAATCTCAGCACATCATTGACGACCAAGACGTTCCCTGAAATTGCACTACAATAATGGAAATAAACCCGGACCTGCAGCGCCATGCAGGCCACCTTCTCGCGTTCACTGACGATGGCGTCCTCGTCGTCTGCCATGTCGAGCTCGTCGTCGTCATCGTCGTTGGGGACGGCGGCCTTACCGTTGACCTGGTCTTCGCCCTCACACACCTGCGCATGCAATCAGAGAACATCGTCAATAATATTGCCGCCTGGGCAATACAAGGGCCGCCTAATATTTATTACAAGCGAGTGAACATCTCGGCACAACTTATACCTACGGGCTGTAAACCCATGACCATCAAAAATAAATCAATAAATCCGTCAAGTTATTCCTACCAGAATAATTATTAGGTGATCTACTCAAGAGAAAAATTCTGCTTAACAGCCTAAAGTTTTGTTCCAGTCAGAAAGTACAATGATTGCATGACTTGTACGAGTATCACAACGTGAAGTGAGTGTAATGTTCAGGTGCATTTCGGTGAACAAGTACAACTCCACTGTGTCAGTCTCATGAACGGTCATACTTTTTTGGCTGAAGGCTCTTGTTAATACGCTTGTTTACACAGGACGTTACAATAGGATTCATCTTCGATTTTTTCATGAGTGATATTATATTATTATAGGCTATTGATTTTTAAATGGTAACCAATTGGCCTTCTATTGCCAACTCCCTCACGCAAACCAGATTTTGTTTGAGGCAGCGTCATCGACTTTCCAATCATTAACAATCAATGCACCGACGGGAACATTTTTTTTCGATAATTAATAAATATAATTCTCTATAATTGGGTGAAAGAATATAATGTGGAGAAAATTAGGATCCCTTATAAAAAATTAGCCTTCTTTATCGAGTAGCAGAAGTGCTTGCAGTGTCACTTGCTAGCAACATGTAGCGCCCAGCCAGTAATGAATGTCAACTAGTGCAGCAGCAGCAACACGTGCCCTCACCTCGTGCAGGTGTGTCAGCAGCCACTGCAGCAGCAGCATGCAGCAGCAGCAACACGTGCCCTCACCTCGTGCAGGTGTGTCAGCAGCCACTGCAGCAGTGGGAAGCAGTACACGAAGGCTGGCGCAGTGAAGAATTTGTCTTCCATTTCCTCCTCCATCATCTCGGACCTGCAAACACAAATAATAAATCGATTTAGCGACACGCACAATGCAGGGGAAGATACTAACTTCTGCTAGGCATTCAGCACATGAAGACAAAGTTATCAATGATGTTCAGGCTTATTAGAAGTTTAAAGTGAAAAATTGTCGATGAAGTTTCATGCTCATTAAAACGTTCTTTCCATTTCTTGCTGAACATATCGTCTAGAAGCGTTCAAGATGTAATCAACATTCGTAATAAGCAAGCCGATTTAACAAATTTTATTCCGTTGAAATCAATCGAAACAAATGGGCTAAGGAGTGCAATTAGTCATAATCATGAGAGGCTATGACGGCAATGACCCAGAGGGCACGGTGGTTGAAATCAATCGAAACAAATGGGCTAAGGAGTGCAATTAGTCATAATCATGAGAGGCTATGACGGCAATGACCCAGAGGGCACGGTGGTATTTAATCATAATTATGAGAGGCTATGACGGCAATGACCCAGAGGGCACGGCGGTATTTAATCATAATTATGAGAGGCTATGACGGCAATGACCCAGAGGGCACGGCGGTGTTTAATTATAGTTATGAGAGGCTATGACGGCAATGACCCAGAGGGCACGGCGGCATTTAATTATAGTAATGAGAGGCTATGACGGCAATGACCCAGAGGGCACGGTGGCGGCGTGCAGGGCGGTGAGGGTGCGCTTAACAGCGCTCGGCAGGTCCTCGCCCGTCCAGTCCCTGGGCAGCGCAGGAGCGCCCAACACGCGCACGCTCGTCCGTGCCAAGAGTTCGCCTGCAGCACCAAAGTAACAGTGTTGAAGAACACACCGAATATCTTCCTCAACTAACACATGCTAAAATTACTTATATAAATAGAACATTTAAATGTCATAAAACAAACAAAATCACAAATATTTAGATAAGAAAAAAATTATTGTTACAAATCAAAAGTCCCAGTTTTTCTAAAACTTGTCATCACCTTTTTGCATATTAAAAAATATATTTGACGTGGCAGAAGTTATCATGGAGATGTAAACAAGTTTTGAGGCCCTACATATATTTTCAATAATATATTTGCTGGATTATTCAGATGCGTATTCAAACATGATATAATAAAAAGCGACACGAGGGCAACCGTTCCCCCCCCCAAAAAAGGACCAATCTCAAACTATTGATAACATTCATAGCAAACACCAAATTATTGATCTTCAATATTTGGTTTTGATCTTTGAGAATACGCACCTAAAGCTCCTCCAAGTCCTAAGGAAGGAGGCAGTTGCGGAGAAATACTACAGAGATGCCGCTTTGACCAAGACGCAAGAATCTCACACTATTGTTTACATTTGTTTACATTTACCACTATTGTTTACATTTATTATTCTTTGAGAATACGCACCAAAAGCACCAATGTCTTTAGGGAAGACGCAGTTGCGGAGCATCACGAAAATCCTGGCGAAGGAAGGCCCCACGGCCGGGGAGGGCAAGTGGCGGCTCAGCACAGGGATGAGGGACACTAGTGAGGGCGCCAAGGTTCCTCTGTCGCCTTCAATAGCGGCGTACAGAAGAGAGATCTTCGCAGGCACGTCCTTCACTATGGCGGACACTCTGCAAGCATAACGTGACTCAGATGGATGATAATCAATAAAAGGAATTGATTGTAATATGTTAATCTATGACAGCTGAGCAATTGTAATAATGGCAAGAATGTCAGTAACAATAGCGGACACTCTGAAAGCATGGCGCTAGCATAGCGATTGTAATCTATTTGTTTATTGAGGCCTGAACATGGCCTCAATAAACAATTAGAAGTTGTGCCAGAAGTTATGCCATAAACTTACCCAACATCAAAAATCGGATTCATAAAAGGATCATACTTTCTTATCCAAGATTTGAAAAAAAGTTACCGTTTTTTGACCGCAGCCTCCTTCTCTGTCTGTATTCTGAGAACTTCCTTCTGTTTGGCCGTGAGCTCGAGTTTGCCTTCCTTCCTCTTGCGTTCGATCTCAGCCTTCTTCTCCTCGAGCATCATGACCTGCTCCTGGTGAGTGTAGACCTTCGTAGTCTTCTTCACATGCTTCGTGTCCAGATTCAGTTCAAACGCGCTGCATAAATAGGAAAAAATCATTCCAGGAAAAAACCCAGTCAAACAAAGCCTCTAAGTCTAATAGATACGAGCAATGTTTGATTTTTTAGCACTCACCAGCGGTGGTGCCTTTACAGGCCAATTCCGTGAAAATAACAGCCTTTGCCACACCCATTAACTTCTATCAATGGCAGCTTAACCAATGCTGAACCTATCTCAAATAAATTGCTCGAAATCTGATTTCCTTCTTGATGAATTCACTCACAAGACTCGTTTTCGGAGTTCTGCACTAACACTAACTAATCTTCAACATTGCCCACATCGCCATTTGATTGGAAATGAGAGTTACTTAAGAAAAATTTTCAACGCAGGCAATAATTCACTAGAAACGTGTAAGCAAGAGGCGCAGAGGCAAGAAAATCAACTCTTGAATATACACAGGACTCATAAAATGAAAAGTTATATAGTTTCCATCTAGATTGTGTGGGAGCAAAAAAAGTTCTCACTCGTCAACGAGGTGCTGATGGAAGAGTTTGCCCTCAGGCGTGTTGTAGATGGCAAGATCCTCGTCAGTTATTTCTAAGAGCCGAGGATCGTCAAGAGATGTTGAGAGATAATTAATGATGATTGGATACAGCGTGGCTCCCTCCAAACGGCACAGCTCAGTTACAACCTGCAATGGCAAAGGAAACATGGCCTTTATTGAAGCATGAAAACTAATCGTCGGTATAGTCATTTGAAGTATTGATTAGTTATGTTAGTATTAAAACAATATGCCAGTGGAATAGTAGTTGCACTTAAAAATTGAAGAATTTATTTTTTGTGGAGTCAGGACGACGTCAATTCAATGGAACAACTAGTTCCATATCATCATGCCCACCTTCCTGCATACTTGTTGACCAAACATCGCAGCCCAGATATAACCAAATAGCTTAACACGTCACTTGCCTAAGCAGAGGTCGAAGGACAAGTCTGGCAGTATTCCATTGCGCTCAATAGCAAGAGTAGCTTATACACTCAACAAAAATCAAATAAGGTGACTCGCACAACTCAGCACTGACCCATAACATAACTCAATACTGACCCTTGAATTAGTAGGAGTAGCAGTATAACCATCCGTTATCAGAGTTGTGAGGTCTGAACACTTTTTCTGGACGAGTTCAGGAATTTTAACCTGAAGAACCTTGCAGAACTCAGGCCAAAGTCCTCTACGCTCGCACTCTGACCAAATAAAGCAACGTACATGTCATCAATTAACCCTAGCAAACCCTGAACATGAGGAAGAAACATCAGAGGGTTTGATATCAGTTAAGTCACTCACTACAACTACGTCACTTAAGTAGCAAGATGCAAATAGGTTTAATATAAATTTCAATAATTCTTATCAATTAATTCAAAGCCTGTAAATTATTGATAGTTTTCCTAGTATGCAAGCCCCTCAATTTCAAAAACAGGTCCTATACTTGCCATTATAAACACTCTACACAGCTAACCATTTGTGCCAACCTTATTAATATTCTGTTATCTTTGGGTAATTTGTAGGTAGAATTCGGTTCTAAATATTGTCTAAGGTAAAATATGAGCAAAGACTAACACGACTTACCGACATGAGGAGAGCAGGCGATGGGCAGGGCGAGGAGGGCGAGTTGCAGCCTCTCTTGCATCGCCAGATTACGACAGCTCGTCGCAAAGCAACTCAGGAAATGCTGGACACCGGCGGGGCTAACAACTGAAACACGTTCACGGTTTTCAGTTTTAAATCCTAGTAGTAGTAAGGAGAGGTTTCTAGCGCTTCAGATCAGTGTAGTCCTAAATTTAAGACTTTAAGAGTATGTGATGGTTTCTTCATTGCGGCCAAATATTCATGAGTCTGCAATGATTCATTGCTGACACAGGTCAGGTATTCAAGCATAAGTATTGGAATGACAGGACAATCTTTATGGATATAAAATTAATAATATGCGTTTAAAAATTACTTTTTAAAGACAACACTTCTGAACAATCCAGTGTCTTGGACGTAACACATGTACAATTAATTTCTAATTTTATTTTCAAATATTGAAAAAAAAATTATTTTTCAAAATGTTTCTAAGATATAAAAATTTTGTGTATTTTCAAAATTATTTGTTTTGTCAATAGATTCATGCATTGTCTATGACTTTATGCAATTGTGCAAAATTTCAGATCAATTGGACCGGTCAAATTGTGTCATATATGGATTATAAGATTTGTGGGAGACGAAATTATTTTCTAATTTTTTTTAAATAATGAGAAAAACAAAATTTTTAATTTATAAAATTGTTTATTCTGTCAATTGATTCATGCATTGTCTCTAACTTTATGCAAGTGTGCCAAATTTCAAATCCATTGGACAGGTAGAAGTGTGTTAAATATCGATTATAAGATTTGTAGCAGACAGACAGACAGACAAACAAACAAGAAGTGAAGTTGAAGAGAAGTGTAAAATACTTCTCTTTTAGAGTACAGCAAGAAGAACATCATCTCTGTATATTCATCAATAAAATAATAATAATTGTACTTGAGGATACATTCATTAATAATTCTATCATGGTTGAACTAGTACAAGGTTGACCCATCAGAAGCCCATTTTTGCGAATGTAGTTTGTTGTTCGCCTGTGACGTCACTGATCTCAGTGACGTCACGGGCATTAACCAATCAGCGAAATGCGATCAAACCAGTCAACCAATCCGTCATGGTAATGACGGGTTTGTTTACGTTTCTCGATCTACGTGATGTAACAAGTAAGCTGAACTGAAAGACGGAACTTCTCGTGGGTCAACCTTATATAGTTCAACCATGAGTTTAATCTCAATATTTCTGACACGATACCAATCCTGATGTATTGGCATTTTTACAAATGGTATGTGCCGTAGCAGAAATGTTTATGATTATCAGCTTCTAAAATTATTTAGTTATACCTATATAAGCCGAGATAATTGAACATGCACTTATCATCAACAAACGTGTCAACAAACTTATTCAAAAATTCAAGAAAAATGAATCAACATAAACAGCATCGTTCTCCAATTTTATATTTCAACAATATTTCACAACCATCAACAATGCCTTTAATTTTTTTATTATCAATTCTTTTAATAATAATGGATGAGAAAACTCTGGTCACCATAGATTAGCATGGAAATAAGATTTGAACAGCAAAGTTCGTAGTGTTGATGTTCACATCTCTCTTCAGAACCTTAGTGTAGCTACAGAAACTAATATACAGGATGTACGTCGCATCAGTATTTATTTTATCTTTGTTTGAACGTAGGCCACTAAACCTTATTCTCTGTTGCCAGTAAACCTTCTGCATAAACTTGCGTTTCATTACGAGCATTGGGCTACCACTTTACTCTCACACAAAAAGCGATCAATTAATATTAGTATGAATGAAGGAGATATGAACAGCAAAGAGCAATCATTAACAAGAAATATTAATGCAGGACGCACCACTGGCGGCGCAGTCGACGGCCGTGGCAGTGTGGACAGCCCCGCCGCCAAGCACATCCTCTGCCCTGCCACCTCCAGGCCCCCCTCCACCTCCCGCAACTCCAGACTGCACAGCAACAATGTATTAGCAACAACACGAGCTAGCAATATATCTTACCTTTTCGTCTCTAAATAAGACTCAAATTTTTATCCTACAAAGAGGAGTATTAATATCTTTAATTTCAAACAGGAATGATGTTACCACGTAGAAGAAACTCAGCATGGAATCGAACTAATGAATACCGCCAAATAAAATTATTTCCAACACCTATGTTAAACCTATGCTTAAGATTGTTTTTTTCACATGCAGTGTTAAATGCCCACCTCAATTTTGACGGCATCCAGATACTTGGCAAAAGCTATGAGCAGATCAGCAGCAAGCTTGGCGCCCGCAGGGGTACTTGTGAGTTTCTTGACGACGTTGCGAGCCTTCAGACGCACAGCCGGCGCTGACGCTGCGCTCGTGGCCGCTGTTGTGCCGTCTGTTGCCGCGGTGCCAGAGTCTGGCGACCGCCAGCACAAACAGAAACACAAACACCGCAGCAACACGGGCTCAAAGTCAGCTATACGGTTGCGATGGTGGGTCAGTAGTATTTCAATAACGTCGCACAGTTCCATGAGACCTGGATGAAGATATGCAGAGAATAACCAGACTGCTTGCAAAGAGATGCATTAAAACTTATTCTCTTGCAGTATTATGGAGTAGAAATAATTTTCACATATTCCTTAACAAATAATAAAGCATTAACAGAGTTTTGATCACATGAAAAGGGGTATTATTCTCATGAATTTATCACAGAAATGATCTTAGCATGTATGGGAAACTTGTAAAGCAACTGAAAACACTATTATACTTAACATCTTATTTGTAACTCATGAATGAATGAACATTTCCTCGCTTCAGAACAATGAGAATTTAATCAACATGAAAATGAACTTGCCTTCCGCGGGCGCTGCGGTCAGGAACTTGTCACCAGTGAAGTAATTTTTCGACAAATCCAAAGCAGATGTAAATACGCCAGAGACTTGAGCGTCCAGAGCACAATCGGATGCTGAGAGTGAGAGCAGAAAGCCAGCTGCAGTAAGAGCTTCAACCAACATCGGCATCTGTAAATAGAATTACATATCATTTTGATGCTGTCATGTTCTTATACTCAATGCATCAGAAATATTAATGTTTCCTTTCGGAAACATGGATACTACAGAGATAATTTAATTTGCTCGTAATGGAGGCTTGGTGTTTTGATACATCAGCTACGAATCAGCTCTGGAAATAACAAAATAAGCATCGTCAATCAGTCAGAACTATACATAATTTCTGAAAGCAAAAGTTATTCATCACCTTCAAGTATCAAAGCATATATCAAGGCACAAGACCCAGGAAACCAGGCTTTATAACAACTTGATAACTAGAATTTTCTTATTAATATTGTGAACGAGGAACATCGTTCACTAATTTATTCAATGTGCATTTTCTTGTGACGAAATTATTCTATTGCGTCTGGCGAAGCTGCGCCAGTGACATGTGAGTCAGACCTATAGCAGTTGGAACTGTGTAGTACGAGGTCAGGTCTGAGTGTCTGTGCGTCAGGTAGTGAGTCGTGTCCCGCCAGCCCTACAGTGAGGTTCTAGCCTGAACTCACCTCGCTCCGTTGCACTAGAGATCTTGTGCCCTAGCGCTAGTTACTGTGGCTGTGCACTATATGCTCCATCAAGCAGTGTAATGTCAATCGTGCTTGTTGTACCATTTTATTCAACGTGTTGCTTTAAAGTTTTCTTTACTGGAATAAAAGGCAAGTTTTACTCGTGTAACCGAAGTTTTAATGAATGAACATCCCAGTGCAATAAAGTGAACTTTTTACAAGATAGTTGCCGGCGTTTGGCCGTGGAGTTTCGATTATCCTGACAAGATTAAAGGTAGCGGCACACGTCCGGTGACAATATTATTATTATGGTTATCCTTTGAAGCAATTATCATGGTGTCTGGCTCAGCTGAACTTTGAGGGCATGTTACACATAACTTTGATGGTGAGAGAAAAAACAACAAATTATTAATAATCATTACAAATATAATTAATACGCTACAGGGAAAATGATAAAATCATTATAATAAAGAAACATGAAAGGATAAGGATGTATAAAAATGACTACCACAACTGTGTACCGCTGACACTGCAAGCGCTGGTGGGAAGACATATATAGGCATTGTATATTAGTGTAGTTAGGTAGGAGCTCTTAATTAAGCAGGTTTAATTGAAGACAGGAACATAAGACAGACAAAATTCTTGCTGGCGCTGGTAGATCGTTAAGCAGGTTATCAAAAAACTTTTTACTGAAATACAAAGACTCGAATATTAAACATTAATTCTCAAGCAGGTGAAGAGTTATACAACACTCGAAATTTGGAAATGACAAATACGTACAAAAGGTATCGAAGATAAGAATCGAAATAAAAACTTAAAATTATACCAAGAACCACTACAACACCCTGACAAATCCAATGATTTGCAGATTGATTACTGGAGACTCGTCCTTGATGATGGGATTCTCTGCCATCGCCAGTCTTGTAGCATCGTGGCACCGCACGACGATGCTGGTGCAGGCCTCCAATGTGGCACGGTGATGGTTTTGTTGTGGGCCTTCCGTAAACGGTGGTGCTTTGGTCCTCCAGTTTAGGTGGGAGGTGAGTCGGCGGCTCAGGGTCATGCCGATGTAATTTACATTGTGAAGCAGTCTACAACCTGCTTTTGTGCAGGAGAATTTGTAAATAACATTGGTTTCTTGCAGTGGTCCCGACTTTTTACATTGGTAATTTTTCACGATTTACTGGTTTTGATAGTAAATTCTGGTGACGCAGTCTTTTGAATCACAAGTACAAAATCAGCAGCATACGCGCCCTCATACATCAAGCATTCAAAACCTGTACATCTGCTCATGACTTGAAAGCTGAACTCCGGACCTGCCAGCAAATTCTTGTAAACAATGGTTATACGAACCTAACTATCGTCGACACAGAAATTTCCTATTTTTGAGCACGTCAAAACCGAACAGATGAATCCACATCAAAAGACTGTGTCACCAGAATTTACAATCACAACCAGATGAACAGCGGTAACAGGACACATGAATGAGTCCTCAATTCAATTGTGCACAATAACATCAGCTGCACAACAGTAACTGAACAAATAAAACTCTTGATTTACAACAAAAACAAGAAAATCAATAATTTAATCATGAAAATAGCCCACGTTTAATGTCGGGACCACTGCAAGAAACCAATGTTATTGACGAATTCTCCTGCACAAAAGAAGGTTGTATACTACAGAATTTAAATTACATCGGTTTGACTGGCCCGACCCTGAGCCCCGGACTCGCATGCCACCTACATTCTGGAGGACCAATGAACCACATGCGGGAGGGGCACAACGAAAGCATCACCGCCAACGAAACCATTACAGACCTGCACCAGCATCATCATGCGGTGCCCCGATACTACTGGAATTTAGCGATAGCAGAGGTTCTCATCATCAAGGATGAGTCCCCAGCTATCAATTTGCAAGCCATTGGATTTGTCAAGGTGTTGAAGTGGTTCTCGAAATAATTTCAAGTTTTGATTTTGAACCGTATCTTTGATACCTTTTGTATGTACTTACATCATTTCCAAATTTCAAGCGTTTGGAAACTTTTCACCTACTTGAGAATTATTTAAATATTTGAATCGTCGTATTTCAGTAAAAAGTTGTTTGGTAACCTGCTTCATGATCTCCCAGCGCCAGCGAGAAATTTTGTCTGGCTTATGTAGAGATGAGGGCTTCAAACATCGTCGGTTGGATGATGTCGGGCTAGTCCATGAAGACGATGCTTGTGGGTTCCTCCAGCACGGTGAGAGTGACGGTCTCGTTTAGTTTGATGTCAAGTGTGAGACTCTCAAGTGTTGTTGTAAAGCCTATTGAATTCATCGTGGGTCGTAATATGAAGTTGCTCGATTATAGTGCTTTGAGACCTGGTCTGGTGGTAGCAAGGTTGTCTCATTTGGCAGGATAAAAGGCTGCTCAGCTGCTCAATGTCGTAGTAGCTACTACAATTACTCCAATGTAGTCCAAATAATGAAGAAGTCTACAACATTCTTTGAAGCAAAATTCATAGATTACACCAGACTCTCGAACAACTCCTACTATCATTTTGTCTCGGACCTCAAAAATGAGCAGCTATCAAATATGAAAATATCACTAACAAATTACATAAAAGGAAGGCAGAATATTACAAACGGCGTTCTGGTGGGGTTAGAATATTTTCAATTGTGTTTGTGGTAGTTCATCACAGAGAGCAATTTATTTAAAGATAATAATCGAAATTGTTAAAAAATAAACTAATTTTGTTTGCCAACTAAGATGCACATCATAGATACCTGCGTATGTTGGGTGAGAGCTTTCTCCATGATTTTCAGGGCTGAGGGCACAGTTTTCTTAGCTAAGCCTGGGGCGCCATCACTGCGGGCAACTCGAGTCAGACATCGAACGAAGGCACTTCTGACGCCTGTCGTCCATGTCTTCATATTCACCAATTTCTGAAAACGAATAATAATTTAGATGCATAAGATTATACACTAAAAAAATACTATATTCTTTAATGAAGAATCGGAAAGATAGAATAACCAACGATCAGTTTAAAGATAGAATTACATAGTCATCAAGTGAACATAGACATATCAAATATCAGAGATCCGTATTAACCAAGAGCCAGAAATTTAACAGCATGCCACTGGCTTGAGCGATTATGATTGTTCATGAATAAAAAGAAAAAAATTACCAATATTGGTAATTTTTTAGTTAATATTACTATTACATAATAATAACCTATTACTATTGAAAAAAAGTAAAATTTTACTATTTAGTAAAATTTTACTTTTTTTCAATAGTAAATGAAAGACTTCAAACTGATCGTAATAAAAGGAAATGAAGTTATCTTCTGCTCTAAAAACTTTAAAACTTCAACTACCGTCAATAGCACGAAATTTGCCGCAGTAATCCTAATATAAATAAATCACCGACCCTCAATAAAAAAAAACGCTGGTTAGTTGTGTTCAAGAGGCACAAACTAACCTCAAAATCTTGTTTTTTGTCAATATAGGTATGTTGTTTGTATTGCAGGATGTCAACTCGAGTAGGTAAAAGACTTAACCATAATTTGGGGTAGCAAAATATTTACCTGCATATTATCAGCAACGAGCTGCACATGCTTGGTAGGAACCCCAGGCTGCAGCCAGGCCTGCAGGACGCTCATGGCTTGCAGCAGCGATCCTTCATGGCTCTCTGCCTCCACGACGCGAAGCCAGCGACTCAGCACGCTCTCCAGCACAGGGCCTACCGACGCCACACCAACGCTGTGCCCGCTGCACGCCTCCACAGCCTGCCATCAAACTCCTATTATTGTAAGCTGGTCGTCTAATGATATCTTAGTATACATATTACATTCTTATAATTTACTTGTACCTCAATGAGTACACACATGAATTTATTGCAAGGGTATTTATAACTCTTTATCAGGGAGGCTTCTTGTCCGATTATTCCATGGTTTCCCTTGTATGGTTTTGGTTTTATAACCCCGAAAAACCATTATTCTATGGTTTTAAAACCATGGGTTTTGGTTTTAAAAGCCCGAACAACCCAGAAGAAAGAGCTGACCTGAAGAACGGAGACCTTGTGCGTCGTGACGGTAAGTTTGCCATCGGAGCCGAAGTAAACATCAAACAAGGTGCCTACGAAGACCTTGACGGCGTCTGCATCGCAGCATTGCCGCGTGAGGGCGCCACACACGGTCACGGTGTCGCTACGAACTGCGTCTTCCTTGTGGTGCAGTGGCGCTGTGGCACGGGACAAGAGGAGTGAAATGAATGAGATGTAAAAATCTGACAAGAAAAAATACTTTGACTCAATAGAAATTCTGATGATGATGCTTTGACAGCAGACATAATGCTGATGTTTACACAACAGTGTTATAAAGTAAATAAGATTAAGATGCTGTAAGATAATTAAAATGGTACATTTGCCATCACATCTTGCAGAGTAATCACACAATTATAACAATATTTCAAAAATATTTCTCTCTCAGTGAATCAACATTTCTATGTCTGATTCCTGAATAACGCCTTCATGCAATGAGCATGAAAAAAATATTAACTAAGAATGGGAATCCAAATAACAAATTTTGAAAGAGATGCCAGGATAAGTGAACATGTTCAAGAATTTAGGACTGCATTAGCTGACAAAGCTACAACTAAATGAATTACAGCGACAGTAAACCTGGGAAATAAAGAGTAACCTTGTAAAAGCTTAGCCAACTCAGCCAAGTACTGAGATAGGTCCAGAACGGAGGAGCTAGCCAGTCCTGCTAGTGCCGTGAGGACGGCCTCAGGGTTCCTGAGCAGAGACTTGTGCACTGCAGGCACTACGGTGCTCTGGAGGTCTTCGTGACTGAGTTCATTTATGAACGCTGAGCAGCTGCTCAGGTACAGTGAAGGAGGCTGTGGGGACACATAGCGATTCATAAATGATAGTTTAAAATGAGCGATATTGCGTGAACAAGATATTGCTACAGATGGTTATTACAGTAATGCATACAAGATTGTTGAAAAAGTTTAATGTACTCTCGTAATTGGTGCTTCAGAAGCTAATATTAGAAATTTAAATAAAATTCATCTTGAACTGAGAAATTTTATGACCCACACCTTAACTTTCGTTTGGAAAAACAACTTGATGTAAGCTTGGATGAGTTGCTGCTTGACTTTTGCGTCGAGCTCAGGCAGCTTCTTCTCCCTGACAAACTTGAGCAGATGACCGCCCGTCACCACGTTGTGTATGGAGACTTCCTCACTACCCAGCTCCTGGCACATAATGTTTCATTTTAAGAAATTACTTTACATTTATTCACCTTCTATTTAAACATGTCTATTCAACTATCCAAGAATCTTGTAACTAAAAAAATGCTAAAATGTGTTATTCAATTCAAGAAATAATATTTATTAATAAAAATCAGTTGAGCTGTAATAATATTAACAAACAAAGACCTACAGGCACGTTTAGAATAGCAAACATTTTAAAGGATTGAGAGACAAAACAGTGCTCTTCTTGACTCATGAACTTTACAAACCTGAGCGAAAGCATTAAGCGACTCTGCACTGGACCAGAGAGGAGCCATGAGTCCAGTAGCTCTCCTGATGAGCTTTTTATCATTGCTACCGACGGTCAAGGTGAAGAAGAGGCAGAGCGAGCGCACTAATATCTGGGCCTCCTCAGCAGGGATGTGTATAGGGGCTGGGATGCTGGTGCCAGAATCACTGCTTAGCTCGGTAGCAGAAAGCACTCTGTGGTTGTGACGAATCACTCCAGTCCATGCAGAAGATATTGCCTCAACAAAGGTTAGAAAATGTCGTGACAGACTGGGCCTGCGAAAAATATGAGGCAGAATTAGTGGGATCAAGAACAACTGGCTAATGAAATTAGATTTGTAGGCTTAAAAAAATATTGCTGGCATAAATTTGATTAAATCATGAAATGTACAGTAATCTTGCAGCAGTAAGAAACTTTGGAATAAATAATAGTCACTCTAGTTCTGCAATTTCAAAAATGAAAACAGCCAAGTAGCCTACCTTCTGCCAAGTTTAGTCTACCTTCTTGAGAACAACATAACTAAACACACAATAAAAAATAAAATAAATGACTGGAATGCTATTGATACTTACGTGATGCTCAGAATATTCTTATGAGCTTTGGCCATGTTTTTGAACGTTGGCGTCAGGTGCGGCATTGATGAATGCTTGGACGTGGCAGCAGCAGCGGCCTGCTGCAGCAGCCACCGCAGGTCGCGGTCATTATAGACACCCGTGCCCATCACGCTCATCTTGGCCAACACTTTGACCAACTTCTCTGGCAAGTCTGCATGTATTGATAAATTGAGTAGATTTCATACATAAATGGAACACATAATAAGAATTTTAAACAATAAAGACATCAATTATTACATTATTACTGAGACATTGTAGAGTTCATAGTGGCATGAAGTGAATTTCATACTTTTGATATTTTAACTTTTTTATGCACAGATTATCTTACCTATTTAATTTTTATTATCTGATGCTAATGCTCAAGTCCTAAAGTGTGTTTGCAAGACAAGATCTTAGGTCAATAGATACATCTTATATTCTTTAAATTTTAACTTTAGTGCTGGCTAAGGGCAATATAAAGCCTCCCAGGATTTCAAGCCTCAAGCTGCAGTAGCTGCTGATCTAGGTCCCTTGTCTGTCAGGCAGTCAATGGTGATGAGTTCAACATCAAACAAAATGCCATTTTCTGAGGTCTTTGAAATTAATTTGTAAGAATTGTCAATATGACGAGCCCCTGCACAGTTTTTTCCACTGATTCCAACAATATTATTAATAACATTACTGATACCAAATTCTGTCAAATTGTCAGCAAAGAATGTATACATATAATATACCTCCCAACTTGGCTCAATGACTTAATACAACAAATTTTGACCAATATTCTGACTGCACTCATTTCCTTGCAGATAAAGAAATGGACTCCAAGCCCTGACCAGACTTTATGTTTGTACTGGGCATGATACAACTGGATTTGCAATTACCCAGACCCATAGCTGCTTTGCAGGATCTTTTTAAACTTGGCAGTCACAGTATGAGTGGCAAATTCCCCAAAGCTCTGAAGATCTTTGACAACACATCATAACCTATGCCTGCAGAAGACATTTTTTTAATATAAATCTATTTAGATGTTTTTTGCAAAGAAATTGGAAAAGTTTAGGTAGTTCTGGTGACAAATCCTCAACAATACACTATGGGCCTGAAAAGAGGATCTTGGCAACAATTGCCAAACTCTGCATAGTGGAGCGGAATCCAAATAGCAGAAAAGCTTTAGTCACAGCTTGACAAGTAAATACAATCCACCCAATCTGGAACATTAGGCTGAATTTTCTTAAAATAAAGTTTTAGAATGATTGATTCACAGTTTTTGTTGAAAATCAGCACAAAAATTTGCCATTTATTCATCTATCACACGAGAAAATGGGTAAGGGCCGCAGCAATGGGCTGAATTGTCCACAATCACTGGGTTGGAATCATCTACCCTTCAAGTCACAACAGTTTTCCTGACATTTTTGGAGCCATGAGATTCTTGCCAGATGATTTTCTATTTACGATATTAAAACTACACAACCAGCCTGCAAGATTTCAAATGTATATAAAATTTTTTGCTTTGGAGCCACAACATTTCATTCAAAAGTATGATATTTCCAGTATGAAATTTTTAACAATGTACGAGACAAAGTATGAGAAGTAGGAGATTTTTAACAATGTTTAGGATACAACACAGTTCCCTAAGTTTCATGGGAAATAATACCTATTAACATAGTGGCAAAGCAGAGTTTTTAGACTCTCCCTCAAGTTCATTTTTGAGTCCTATAAGTAGACCAGTAAAGTAGGTATCCAGGATACCAGTATTATCATATGTACTAAAGAAATTGGTTAAAATCTTGAGTAAATGAGGAAATTAAAAATGAACTGATTCTAAAAAAGCTCTGATTTGCCACAATGCCTATTAATTAAATTAATCAAGCACAAGCATTTTTGTCTCATTCATGGGCAGCTTCTATTTGATATTTTGTTTGGTATTCCAAATGCTAAATCTTGAAACCCGCTGCACTTTGCAGGATCTCATTTTGCAACAATTTAAACTCTTTTGCCTGATGTGACTCCAAAAGATTTCAATTTAGTAATAAGTCAGTACTCACTACTCAGTAATCAAGTTTACAAAACTTATCTAGGTACATTAAGTATTTCCTTTATTTCACTCAAATCATCAACTCCTCATAACTTAAGTGCTCAATCAAATTATTTATTGGTGCTTTCAATGTTAAATTTTTGCCCTACTGAAAATTTATTTCAATTTGCGAGAAGAGCTACTGCCAATGCCATAAACAGTAAACAAACAGTAAAAAAAATCTGTGGTTTGTCACTCACTAGGTGACTAGGTATGTTTTCAATATTAATAGAAACTTTAAAACCAAATCCCTTATTGACAACAACATTACCTAGCTCATTGAGAAGAATCTTGAGGAGAAGTTGGAGCCCTTCTCTCCTGACAGCATGCTTCCCAGACTTCAATAGGTCTGGCAACAATTTCAGCTCCGTCAAAAGCTGCAAAACAAATTTGGATCTTAGATAAAATTGTTACAGCTACATTATATAAACAAGTGTTGATGTTTCACATTTACTTTCTTTGAACTGCTTCAAAATTAAATCAATACCTTAAAAGTTAGGATAGTTAAAAATTATGATGAACTCGATTGTCATTTGTCAATAACTACATTGTGCTTTGGTATATGCTTAAAAGTTAAATAGGCTCAGATCCGTCTATTTAAAAAAAATTAGAACATAACAATTCAAAAATGGAGGCAATGTGATAAAACTTATTGTATTATAGTATTAAAAATGAAATTATGACAGCAATTATTAATTTATATACCTAGGTAGTTGCACTAGGTTGGTACAATGTTCAATAGAGAAGTTGACATGGCCTACTTCAGCTTGTTCAGCATCAATAAATCAAGAGTGTCGAGCAGTGAAATTATCTGAAGGTTTAAAGCGAGTATTAAAAATCTCTGAGAAGTTAATGGCGTCCATACTATCATTGTTTTAGTTAAAAATTTAATTTACTTTACATAAAATATTTAATCTTACCACCGGTGTGGACATGCTGGTAGCTTCTTATTCTTCACAGTTTCTATACTCTGTCAAGAAATACGGATCGGATGCATTGTATAATTAAGTGTCCATGTCAATTAATATACATGATAATATACAGAAGCATTGATCAATACGGGCCTTGAGTGTTGTAGACTTAGGTGTCAATGTCAATTTGCATACATTATAATAGACAAAACATTTAAAATTTCTTATTTATGCTTGTTTTTTTTATTGAACACCGGAGCATAACATAACATAACATAGTGATCTCGGCGCTGCAGTGTAGGCCTGCTGATGTGGCCTGTCCCCGATTCTTTTCCTTTTCGTGCTTTGTTCACAGACGATCTAATATCGTTTCATTTGACCGGATATTTTCATGACTGACGATAGTTTCAAGTAGCTACTAGACTTCCACTGGGTTCGATATGATGCTGGGCATTTTAAATCTGAACATATATTTTTCCATAGCTTTATCTAGTCTGTTCTTGAACGCGTTCACACTTGCAGCGCCGACGATGTCATTGGGGAGGCTGTTCCACGTGTCGGTGATTCGAAGCGAGAAGAAATTTTGTCGCGTGGAGAAGTTGCAGCGCAGTTTTTTTTAGTTTATAGCCGTGGCCCCTGGTGTTGGTTCTTGTTTCAAATTCTAGTAATCCTTCGGGGACCTTGTATAAACCATGAGTATACTTGTATACTTCAATGAGGTCCCCACAAGCCTTCTGGGACCTTGTATAAACCATGAGTATACTTGTATACTTCAATGAGGTCCCCACGCAGACGTCGATAACTGAGGCTCGGAAGCTTCATAATCTTCAATCTTTCTTCATAGGACTTGTCCTTCACGCCTGGAATTATCCTTGTTGCACGTTTTTGAACATTCTCTAGTTAATTTCTGTCCTTTTCAAATCTCGGTGACCACACAACGTTTCCAAACTCTAGATTCGGGCGCACGACAGCAACAAACAACTGCTTCGTCGCTTCTGCATCTAGAAACTCGTATGAGCGTCTGATTAGTCCAAAAGTTTGTTGGATGTGTGAGCTTGCGTTTCAACATGCTTAAAAAACTTCAGCTCCTTGTCGACATAAACTCCGAGATCTTTTTCCACACTAGACTTTTCAATCTATATTACACTTGTCAGCATTAAACCGCAGCTGCCACGTATCAGCCCAGTTAACTAAACTGTCAAGATCATCTTGTAATTGCGCTTTATTTGACGCATCCTTCACTGCCTAGCCGTCACCTTGCTAGCCGCTCCTCCAGTACGTACTTGTGCTGTGCCTGTCAATCCCCTTACTTCTGTACTCACCGAGCCACTTTATTATTATTATAATAGATCTAGTGTTAACCGTTCGTTTCACTGATCCTGCCTTAGTCATACTTGGAACTACTAGTATCCTGACTCTCAGTTACTAATCTATCAGGGGGTCGCAGAAATAGCATGCTTTTTATTAATTTTTTTTAAGACGAACAAAATTTTTGCTGGCGCTGGGAGATCACGAAGCAGGTTATCAAATGACATTTTACTGGGATAGGACGTTTCAAATATTTAACATTCATTCTCAAGTAAGTGAAAAGTTGTATAACACCTAAATTTGGAAATTACATAAGGACGTACGAAAGGTGTCATACATTAAATTCGAAATCAAAAGCTAAAATTATTATTATTAGATCCACTTCAACGTCTTGACATATCCAATGGTATGCAAATTGATAGCTGGGGACACATCCTTGATGATGAGAGCCTGTGCCGTTGCCAGTCATGTTGTATCGGGGCACTGCATGATGATGCTGGTGCAGGTCATGGTTGAACTATATAAGGTTGACCCACGAGAAGTTCCACCTTTCAGTTCAGCTTTCTTGTTACGTCACTGAGATCAAGAAACGTAAACCAACCCGTCATTCCCACGACGGATTGGTTGACAGGTTTGAACGCATTTCGGTGATTAGTTAATGCCCATGACGTCTCTGAGATCAGTTACGTCACAGGCGAACAACAAGCTCCATCCGCGAAAATTAGTTTCTCATGGGTCAACCCATTGACGATGGAGACCTGCACTCGGGTCTCCATCGTCAATGGGCCTCCCGCACATGGTTCTTTGGCCGATTCAGTCATATGTGAGTCGACGGCTCAGGGTTGTGCTGGTAAAACCGATGTAATTTACATTGTAGAGAAGTATACAACCTTTTTTTCGTGTAGTTTCGTGCAGAAGAATTCGTAATAAATAATTTTAATAAAATTCATGCTCTGGTCTTCAATTAAACCTGCATGGATGAAGAACTTCAGCCTACAACTACAATATTTAAATTCTTATCTATGTACACAGCCATTTGTTAATATTTTCGAGGAAAAATGGTTTAACTAAACGGAATGGTTTATTAATAGGAATATCGCATGCCTCAATTTGAATGTAGGTTATACAGAAATATTTAAAGAGAGTAAAATTAAGACAAAATTTGTAACTTTTTTCATTTCTTCACATGCAATATAAATGTGAGAGTCAACACGCGTCATTGACATTCTCATATAGTACCTAGATAATCTGGCATTAGTTATAATTCGACATGTCGTGGAGGTGTGTGAGCTGCGACTATCAGGCGACGAAAGTAAAGCAACCACCCGCAGCGATGTTTCACTTTCATCGGCTTCTCATGCAGCAAAGGTCACCGTAAAGATGGCCGACCGTTCACTCTCAACCAACTTTCTCCCAGCCTTTCGAGGGCGCTTCCCGTCCGACGAAGCAGCACAAACCACTTTATAAGTGGACCTCCTTCTTCATGAGAGCTTGCTTGAAAGTGTGCCTGAGGAGGCCGAGTGGTTAAGATTATTAAAACTAGAGCAGCGAGTAGGAGGTTTGAGACCTGCAACTGTTTGTGAAATTTCTTGCCGAAATCAGCAAGGAGGCCAGGTGGTTAAGAACCGGCGACAGGCCAACACTGCCTAATCTACTAAGCTGACGTAAATATTGTATGGTATAGTGTTAGGAAGTGTAGCATGGCATCCTCCAGCTCATGGCGAGGGCAAGCAACTCTTCGTACTCGTGAGAAATTATAATATTGTCACCGTCAAGTCATGTCCATATGGAGTTGAAAATTAATTGCGTGCATGAGAATGCGTAGTTCATATATTATTTTATTTCGCAATGAATAATTTCCAATAATTTGTGTCATTGTCAGAACAAGAGTGGATTCAAATTTTCTCCAAACTTATTACCTGCCTAGGGATGGGATAACGTTTTCCATTATGGATGTGGCCTTTGACTCGCAGTTCTCCAATAAAATCCGTCAAGTCATTATCAGATTGTATAACATTCTACTAATTACTTTTTTGCAATTTAGCTACGGTGTTGCATCGTCTTACTTAATTAACATGCTCAACTGCATTTCGATCAAAAGACTTCACATTTAGAAAATGTTTGGTTACGACATTAATCTATTATAATCAGTGTAGTTATTGCGTTACCAAACTAATCGAGAGAAAAGATTGAAACACAACCGTAATAAATGCGAGAAGATTTCAGACCAAATTCCTATCGCTGTTGTGCATATTGCTGATGTTACTCAGGTTGCTTATTACTAACTGTACCAAATCGCTGTTGCTGTATGTGGCACTGAAGTCAACTTAAGTCAAATTTTACGGCATATCTGTGATCCCCAAGATTGTAGTACGCTATTCCCCCGCGGGCTGATGACATATATATAACATATTGAAGTCAGCTCATCACGGGCATATTGGAAACGACTCATCTCCAGCATAATAAAGTCATCTCTTCACAGCATATTAAATACAACTCATAAACTTCATATTGAAGTCAGCTCATCTCCAGCATATATAATTTGGTTGATCTCTCCCACATAAGAGTGACATCACCTTGAGCTGATTTACTATTGATCTTATCCACCAACATAATTAATCGAACTCACCTTCAACATACTGGAGTCACATCAAATCGAGCTGATTTACCATATATCATATAAATCATATTTAATTGAACTCATGTGCTAATTCAAATAACCTGTCGTCATGGCAACTAGCCGTCAGAAATAGAATGTCCCGTCGAGATTATATGGCCTAGCTGGCCGACGCGTGTCCGTGGGTTGGTGAAAGTGCACGGGCTTCCCTCTCTATCAAGTCAGTAAAAGTAATGAGGAATGCAGTACACACGGAACTCAGGGCTTAATTCCCACTTAATACTTAATTGCCACTTGATGCACTAGATGATCAGTCAAATCCCGCACATTCAAACGCATCTTTCCTCTCGTTTTGTTCGGGCTTGACTGATTGAGATTAGTCGTATTTGCGGCACGAATATCTTTATCATCGTTTTGGTTGATTTTCGTTCAACTAACTATTAGAGTTTCCAGAATGTTTAATCTACATATTTGAAGTCAGCTTAGAAATGGAATTACCAGAAAAAATTAGCTAGTAAGATGGTATTATCCCCAACAGATTAATCAAATATAAAAGGTGATCTTGACTCTCGCGTATATCAGTCGATGTAAAGATATATGTGTTCTTTAGGGCGATGGTCGCGCTATAATTGCAATCAGATGAAATTATCATTAGAATTAATAAAACTCTGCAACTGTTCCATTAAGCAAATCTTCGCGAAGATCTTATCAAAGTTTAATTCCAAGTGATCGCCAATAGTATCGTTCAATTTGTATAAATTCAACAACCAGTAATTTGTCTTGAAGAAGAATAAACATTTGAATAATTCGAAGGAAAATGAACCCTTAAATACCAAACTAGCAAAGTATGTATTCTCTTCTGTCACTCTTCCCTCTCGGCGCTGTTTTGCTCCCTTCTTGCATAAATACTGTAAATGCAGGTTTCGTTGAAGACCAGAGAGTATTTCTTATTGACAATTTTCTTATTATTTTTCTCGATTCGGCGAATTAGGCTCTTGATAGGAAGTGAAAATCCAAATATCAGGTTTCCAAGGGACATTTTTATTATAATTTTACGACGTTTCGAATGCAACTTCATTCATTATCAAGTAGAGGACGAGTTCATCATCAAGCAGGAGTCTCCAGCTATTAATTTGCAAACTACC